CAACAAGAGCTTCCCGTCTTTTCCTACCCGCTTCACTTTAATCTCATTCAGGTTAGCCGGCAACATACAATTGCAGAGGAAACCTTACAGTTCATAACAAAAAAAACAATGTATTCACTTCTTTAATCCCCTGAAAACACATTCTAATTTCATTTTGTCGATGAGGAAGTTCGGGTTTACCTATACGAGCGAGACGGTTGACCCAACTAGGGATTGAGTTGTGAGTTAGTTTTAAACAAACTTGGTTGCAGAAATGGTTGCAGTTCCTTGTGATGATATGGTAATTGTTTCCCTTATATTCTCCGGCTAGTTTCTCCATAAAGGTTCTAACTTCTTTAGCCCCCATCTCTGTTTCACCCACAAGAATCGATTTCCTGAATGTGAAACCAGGACATTTCTTTGGCTCCACTTCGAAAATCCCACTGCTCGGTTGCTCGTGTGCCCCGTATCCATATTCAACCCCATGAACTACAAACAATGCATAACCAAAACCAAGAAATGATCAATGGAAGCAATAGAAACCATTCAATATCCGATTTTGTCGACTAAACGAAACAACTTATTGCGCGCAATTGATTCATTGTTCAAACCAAGCAAGCAACAACAAAAACTCTAGACAATGTTCCTCTTATTATCTCAACAAAAGCAGCTTTTATCATCAAAAACAGATTGAGATATCACTTTAAGTCAACTTCAGGAGGACAAAGGTCAATTTATTGTGTAAAAATGAATCCTTTTCATCTTTCGAAGCAAACCAACCTCAGAATCATCCGATCCTCCATCAATTTCTTACAAAACAAGCAGCAAAAGAATCATATATAAAAGGTAACAAAAAGGGATCTTTCTAAGCTATTTTGACAATTCAACCAATTTGACAAAGGATTGACCTTTTTTTTTTTTTTTATCATGATTCTCTCGGGAGCCTAAGAACAATCAAACCCAGAATTAAGAATTTACCTTCAAGACCAGAGTGATAGATCCCAATTCCGAGCCAGTAACCATAAACATTCATTGGGGTTAGATCGTAAACATTGAGAAAAACAGGGACCGAACCAGGTTTCTTCTTCTTCCTCCTAACCCATACGTTTCTGCAAAACATCTCTTTTTACGCCTCAATGCATCGCAAAACTGTCAGCGATTTGAGCATCGGAGAAAGGATCTGATCAGAATTTGTCAAGACTCGATTTTTTTTTTTTTAAGGGTTCTTCCCCTTCTCTTCTGTGGTTTTCTGGGAAAATGGATACCAAATAATCGAATTTTTTTGCCGTTTCTGTTAATTTAAGTCATTATTTGTTTCGTTAGAACTTTAGAATTAAAAATGACCAGAATGGTACTGATAAATAGCATTTTTACCAAATTTTAAGATTGCAACATGTCTCTGTTCGCTTTTTCCCCCTTACCAAAGTATTTAACTCATAAAATTGTGATTAATGTGTCGTTTTAAAGGCCAAACAAAATGTGTGATTGTAAAATACACTTAGGTTACTAATTAGTGTACCTTGTGGAATTAAAAGAAAAATAAAATAAAAAGGAAATAAGATAGAAAGTTAGAAACAATCAAACAAAAGACAGTTGATTCCTTATAACTTGCATACATTTATTTCAAAAAGGGAAAAAACCAAACGTAGATAGGTTTTAGTATAACGAAAAACACCAAAAAGCACCTTCAATAATCTTTATTGAAGTAATCCTATGTGTTCTCAAACAGTAACACATCACACAAAAAGCTGTTTTTCGAGCCGTGGACTGATTAGAACCTCAAGAGGCGTAGCTTTAGGAATGGTCAAGCCGGGGCTCTCACTCATATCAACAGGTTGATCCAAAACAGTTTTCACGTCAAACGAATGAAGAAAACTAGCAAGACCTAAATGAAGCACTTGCAAGGCCAATGAAGAGCCAGGACATGATCTTCTTCCCGAACCAAATGGGATCAATTCAAAGTTTTGTCCTCTTACATCAAACTCTTTTGCCTCTCCTGTAATAAACCTCTCCGGTCTAAACTCGTTTGGTTTTATCCAAACTTTCGGATCTCTTTGGATTTTCCATACATTCACTATCAATCTTGTTCCGCGAGAAACGTGGTAACCTGCGACCGTGCAATCTTCCATCGCTTCTCGAGGGCCTAAGAGAGGACCAGCTGGATACAATCTCAATGTTTCTTTGATAATGGCTTGAAGATACACCAAGTTTTCTATGTCCGAATCTTCGACATTTCTGTCTGTGCCAACTTGGAGGTCTATCTCATCTTGTGCTTTCTTTAACATTTCTTTGTTGTTTAGAAGAAGAGCAATGGCCCATGTGAGAGTTGAAGCTGTAGTGTCACTTCCTCCAAGAATCAGTGCCTGGTAATTCAAATTCATGAATATCTTTAAAAACATCAAAAGAGAGAATCATAACAAATACTCTATATGATTTATGAAAATCTATGTTTAAAGTTCAAAAAGATGAATGTTTTCAATTTTCTATAAAAAAAAATGCTTTAATCTCTAATAAATTGAGGTTATACTTTGATATTGCTAATAGTTTTCTAAAAAGGTGTGTGAAAATCTCGACTTACATTTTTTAAGAAAGGTGAAAATATCGTATATAATCATGTTTTTCTTTAACAGAGAAATGAAAAATTAATTTATTATGATTTTTGGTCTAGAGAGATTTTGAGATTAAATACCAAACTTGCTCTTTGGATAAACCGTGAGAATTGTTTCGAGCCTTTACTAATGTGAGAAGTCGGACTTCAGTCACTCACGACTTGGACCAGCAAATGGGCTTTACTACTAGCCTTCATGGTGGGCTCAAGCTATGGTATGGCCCATCACATAAGGCTTCTAGGATTCCTAACTATAAATACAAGAGTGTGGCACAAGGAAAACCTAATCCTGAATCCAAAGGATTCCGAGCGCCTCAACGGTGGCTCGTAGAGCAAGAGAGAGCTAGAGCGGTGTTTTCTTTGTATTTAAGCTTTGCTCGTACTATTTCTTCTTCTTTGTTTCTCCTTGTACTCTCTCGGATTGTTTAACCGGAGATAGAGAGAGTGAATGATCTTCTTGTATAAACCACATCGGAGATGTTTTCCGATATTCATAGTGGATGCAGTTGTGGAGGAGAGTCTCCACCCTGAGACGTAGCTTCAGTGAACTCAGGGTGAACATTTGTGGTGTTCATGTTTCAATTGTTTAGTGTGTTTAATATATGTGAATCGAACAAATAGTTTGGGACAGGATTTAGGCGTTAAATCCTTAACAAGTGGTATCAGAGCTAAGGCTCTTTGATTCACGGATTCGACAGCAACGTTGTGGAGAGATCACCGGTTGATCTTGTGTGGCGTTTTTTTTTAATAAAATTATTGAGAAGAAGGTCAACGGAGAAGGCTTGTTGAAAACGATGATGTCGTACCTGAAAATTGGAAGATGGTGGTGACTGGTTATTGATTGAAGTCACCGGAGGTTCAGAGATATTGATTGCATTTGCATCGACTCATAACGGAGTTTTGGTTCTAGCCGTCGGGAAAGAGATGAAGCAAACGGTGGAATTTTGGGATATGTTTTGCTTCGATCTTCTTTTGATATGGGCTTCTTAATTGCTTTTGGACTCTTTGGTAAATCATATGGGCCAAGAGTTAGAGTCCAAATACGGAAAGAAAAAAACTTAAGCTTCTATGTGAAAGAGAAGGTTTCAAGGTTATGTGGAAGCTATGGTCACGTATGCAATCACACGTGTGAATCTGATTTGGAGAAAATCAGCACTGAGAGACCGAGAGTCTTCTTCTTCCCCGATTTGTCTTAAGGTCTGAGAAGACAAGAAATCAAAGCGGCGTTCATCATGACTTGAGGAGTGTCGCGGTAAAGAAACTTGCTGGTAAAAGGAGTTATGGAGTCGGCGGAGGCAAGTTTAGCGTCGGAGCAGTTCGTTGTCGGAATCGCATCTGTGTTCAGTTTTCGAGACGCAAGATATTCAAGGTTTTGTGGTTATCGCAGAAGATGACGAAGCTGGAATAGGTATCGGTTTCCGCCGGTAGGAACCACCGGAAAATATAGTAATGATGGTCGAAAACATTTCTGAAATCGACATCGAGATAGACGAGTCTTAGGTGGAGGTCGGCGGCAATCTCTGGCCATCAGAAAGACGAAGTCGCGATCCCCAATGAAGGTGACATAAACAATCACCAGGAAACCAAAGTATCCCATTCTGGTCAGGAATCGCGAACGAGAAAGACACGACGGAGAAGAAGTTGTCGTTGACTGGAGTCTTACGAGATAAAGTGGCAAGCTCCTTAGTTCTCCATAGGAAATCGATGGAATAAGGTCGAAGGTGGAGAATCTCTATGCTGAAAGTGGTTTTGGGTTCCAGGAGAAGAAGGGAAGTATCAAAAACTATTCTGGACCGGTATCTCTGAAATTATTACGGGGAGAAAGTGTGTTATGGTGGTGAAGCTCCTCGGAGAAGGTAACTTTATTTTCTTGAAGAAAGAAAGCCATATTGATTCGTAAGGTTGTCTTGGGTTTAATTCGATTTGGTGAAAAATCGAATTGGGTGAAGAATGTTGAAATCACAAGAATGAATACATCCATAGACTGAAGTAGTAACAGTTGATCGAAATTGGCACATTTTGATCTGGTTATTAAACTGAATGGAGAATGGTGAAAGGTGGAGTTTCCACCATGACATTTGGATTCGTGTTTCTGAAAGTTGTGAGTTCTGGTATGTAACTCAGGGTGATAAAGATCAGAATCTAATAGTTTATTCTCTAGAAGCTCAAATCTTGAAGTTTTCTCAGCATGTATCCGCTGCAATAACAAGGTAATTTTGTGATGATTTGTTATGTTGTTTCGGGTTGTTATTGATCTGCAGAGTAAGAAGACTCTAAGTTTGACAGAGCGTGAATTCGTATGTTGACCTTTAACAAAGATTAGCCAAGCTTTTGGTACTGGGTTTTTTCAGTTATTTTGTGTTTTGGTTAATCTGGTTTGTTAAGATTTGATACGGTAAAGGTTCTAGCTCATAAATTCTTGGAAATAGGGGACGCCCTAGGAGTTAAGAATTTGTGAGTTGATGGTTGTTCTGGTCAGTTTTGAGATTCAAGGACAAGAAAATTGCAGATGAATATGAAACAAGATGGAGAAATCAGTTTCAGAAAACAGGTTCTTAACTTTGAAGTTTTTCGAGTTATAGTTCAGATTGGAGGGAAGGATGTGTGAAGATTCTTTCTCAGTGGAAAGGGTTGACATTCTTGTGAATTTTGGAAGCTCTTGTTGTGATGATTAAGGTCTGTTAGGGAACATCTTTTGTGGTGAAAACAAATAAGATGTTAACAGAATGGAGGTAATCAAGGTCTGTTGGGGAACATCTTATGTGGTGAAACAGATGAGATGTTGACAGTTTTGAGGTTATCAAGGTATCTGTTAGATCATCAGAGGAGCTGAAGTCTTAAGTTCAAACCCAAAGAGAAATGGATCAAGGATACACTTGTTACAAAGTGTTGAGGGAAGTGCAAAGGAATGATGATCAAGGCTTATTGCAGATCAACAAGGAGCAATAAGAATCAAGGTAAATCCAAGGAAATGGATTAAAGATGCAACCTCTATTTTCTGGTGATCAAGGTCTCGTAAAGATCATCATGATGGTGTTAGTTGCTGTAGTGTTTTCAAGTGAAATGAAACAGGGTTGCAAGGTTGTTGTGTTTGGATGTTCTGTTGATACAGACAATGAATAACAATAGACTCTAATTTAAGTCTATGTGTTTGGGTATTCAATTTGGCAGCACAAGATCAGATTGGTAGCTTCATAAGAAGCAAGGTTCTTGGTGAGTCCTTCTGGTATAAAGGACTAGTTTTGAGTGGCGGCAATCTGGTGAGTCATTGTCATACGGCTTGACATACAGTTCAAGCAGGAAGCCATGACTAGCAATGATATTGTACAACTAATGGGTTGATCAAAGAGAAACAGTGAAGAAAAGGTTTTCACTCGAAAAGGTGGAGCTAAGCTTGAGAAACACTTGGAGTGAAGAAGAATTCATTTCCATCGTAGAGTTTTGTAGGGAAACGTGACGTTATGGTTTGTCTAGTTTCCAGTGGAGCAGTGAATTCAAAAATGGTTTCTCGGACCATAATAGATCCTTAATGTTATGGGAAGGACTAGGCATGTCAAACGGGCTAATCCGGTCCGGCCCGGCCCAAAACCCGCAAAGCCCGCATATAAATAAGCCCTGCCCGGCCCGGCCCGAAAAATAATCGGGCCTATTTTTCAAAGCCCGGCCCGGTCCGTACAGGGCTTTAGGGCTATTACGGGCTTTTTAGAATTTTTATGCTAAATAGTACTTGTAATATAAAATCGATATACGCTTATCAAAATCCAATTTAATTAAAAGCAAAAGTTTAACCAAATGAATGCAAATGTCAAATGAATTTAAATAACTATGGA